CAGAGCCGGTACTGCAGCCTGTTATATATACGCTAAGGAGGCGTGTGGTTACGCTCCACTCTGCTAACGTCGCTTTTGGCCAACTGAAAACAACCCGAGTGTGTGTTGGCGATTAGTAAAACAGGTACACTGTGAGAATTTAGACCGCGCTGAATGCCCTGTACGTGTGTGTAGATTTCAGTGTTTCGTAGCTGCTTTTTGACTTTTGTTCCCAACGCATTTGCAGATCAGCTAAGCTAGGCTAGTTGTGATGCTAGATAGCATTAAAAAGGCCCGGGCTGCATGCGCAGTCAGGCCCGTGTGTATGCTAACAAACTCCTACATCACTTTGATAACACAGACTTTTTTAGCACCCGGCTGAATCTGAACGCTGAAAGTGGGGCGTAGACGGGTTAAAATAACAATTTTTAGGACAAACAGCGTTGTAATGTAACAGTTTTAACTACGTTAATACTGGATAGAAAACTAGGTTAGCTTTTTAGCTACTACTGTAAATTAAAAGTACGTTTAGTGGTGGGAGATGCAGAGGTGACACCTTGATTCACAGATACTGTAATTTATGTGATGTACCAAGATCATATTTTAGGTGTTTATTTTTTCCAGTGAAATGCATTTTATTTATTTTTAAAAATATAAATCGAAGTATATTTGCTGTATTTGCTTGTTTGTTATTTCATTAATGTCCCTGTTTTAGCCAAATGAGGACTAGGAATCTGCCATAGAAAAATATAATCTTGTTATTAGTGCGGATATGAGTTTCGTCAAACACTCCGAGAAATGCACTGGAAGTGTAGACACTGATGCAAATTAATGGCAAACGTATACATTTTTGGTTTTTCGTTACACTGAATTTCCCTCACATCTCTAACGTGACGTGTCACAACTTCAGTTATAGGAAGTGACCAATATGCCTCAGTTTACTTATGAATAGACAGACTACAAATAATTTGTGCATTCATGGCCTTTTAATCTCAGACTATGTGCCTGTTGTCTTGTTAGAAGTTTAGACGTCAGTGATTTTGGTTGTCAAGTGTTTAACAAGGAATCTAGGTAACGATTGCATTGCCTGTGTTTAGTGTGAAGGTTAAAACTGTGAATCTTCGTGAGTCTTGAGTGTTGATAGTGTGTTTGCAGATGTGCTGGTTGCACTCTGTAGTTGGTTCTGATCAGAGATATCAACTGTAATATGTAAGAGATACTTTCTGTCTGTATATCAAGGAAATAACGTGGAGTTCAGAGCTCTTGAAGTGCTCTGTTTATCAAGTCCACTATTTATTTATTTTTAATCTTGCCCCTAACACCCCTTAATCTCACTTTCCCCTGTCTTCCATGATTCTTGCTTGTTTGCCCTGAGCAGCAGCCGTGCCCCGCCGCGCCCCCACCCCTAGCGGAGCCGTCATGTGGCAGGAGGCCCGCAAACATGAGCGCAAGCTCCGTGGCATGATGGTAGACTACAAACGGCGAGGCGAGCGCCGGCGAGAGTACTACGAGAAAATAGTAAGAAACTTTATCATGTAGCATTGCCACAGTGTACCACCGGGTAGGAGTGAGCAGGTCTGGCCTGAACACTCTTACTGCAGGATTTAAAAAAAAAAAAAAAAGGAAAGATTTGAGCAAACTTATACACAGTTATGTGGATCCAAACTTTGTGGTATTTTTAAAAACATATGCATATAGTTGGCACAGCTTTCAGTTATCCTCATTGCATCAATGAACCAGTTACTGTTTAAAAAAAGTGTGAAGTTTTAGAAGTTAATTTCCATGGTTGTTGGTTTCAGTTTAATTAAAGTGCTGTGCAGTGTAACATTTCATAGTTTTTAGATATTAGTCAATGCATTGCATTCTGACAGTTTCATTTTCTTTTGACAGAAAAAAGATCCTGCTCAGTTTCTTCAAGTTCATGGTCGAGCCTACAAGATCCACCTGGATCCAGCTGTGGCACTGGCTGCAGAGAGCCCTGCAAACATGTGAGGAAAATCACAAAATCCACACATAATAAGAGATGAGTCACACCGCAGAGCTTATGATCACATGTTGCCTCATTTTGTTGTCTGAAGGATGCCTTGGCAAGGAGATGCCAACAACATGATTGACAGGTTTGATGTAAGGGCTCACCTGGACTACATCCCCACCTACACTCCACCTCTGCTCACCACATCGTAAGTCTGAAAGTACTTAAAGTCACATTTTTAACATGGAACCCACATTGTGTGAACATTTTACAGTTATTTATTTACTTTTTTGTTGTATGATTCTACATTGGACAGTTGTGAGGAGATTCACACATTCACCATAGATTGTTGTACATATGCAGTACAGATTGTTATATATTCAACAGTAAAGATAGTTCATTCATATGTTTTCAGTTCTTTTTTTGTTTTGTTTTGGGGTTTTTTTTAATTTTGTGGAAACATTTGCTCTTATATGAGGTTGAGCTGATCTGACTTTAGTGGTCAAAAGAGATGGTGACCCCTTTTTTGTTTGTTTGTTTGTTTTAAGAAAAAAATAGGCTAATTTAATTACTTATATTATAATTCCTATAACAATAAAGCCAAAACACCTGCTGCAGTAGTCTGTAGTAGTAGATTTATGACTCTTCAAGCACAGCTTTAATACTTCTGGTGACCTGCTCCTAAGACAGTGGCAGGTGGGGGCTTTGACTGGGGCAGTACATCTGTCCAAACTGTAATGCAGGTGTCCTAAGGTGAGCTCAGGGAGGACAGAAACCACCTGTGGAGCAGAAGAGCAACAGCTTGCATGACCTTGATTCCCAGTATGAATACAGATTATTAAAATGGGTCCTCATGGTCCTCCGGATTTCCTGGGTTTTAAGACTGTGGTCAGTAAGTGCTGGATTGTTGACCCGCTAATAGGAAAGTGAACTGATTTTTAGGCCGTTGTAAAACATTTTGGTGTTTCCCTGCTGATGATGTGTGGTTGTAGCAGTAATCCTGCTCAGTACGAGAGCAGTTGACATTATGTGTATGTCTTTGGACAGTGGTGTGAAGCTGCCAGCTGCAGGATTGACTGAACACCTGAAATAAGGTGTCAGCACAATCCTCAAATGCTGATCATAGCTGTGGTTAGTTTTACAGGTTCACTGTTTTCTAAACACAGGCACAGTCAGTCCATTGATTTCTCAAAACACCACCCATGAGGAGACTTTGTTGAAGATGGTTGCTGGGATGACCGGGTGACTACTCTTAAAACTTTCTCTGATAAATACCCCTACTATTACATTATAATAATTTAAAAGACTAAAATTAAAAACTAAACTAAAACTGAACCTTTTTATAAAGTTAAAACTAATCTAAAAAAATACCAAGCGATTCTGTAAAGCGATGGAAAACTGAATAGAATTAAAGAATTAAAAACAAAATAAAATTTAAAAACGCTGGTCATAGCACAACTGTCTGTTTCCATCTTTATGTGTTGTAATGCCGATTACTTCACTGACTGCTTGTGCTGGTGCATTGAAACCTGTGGTAATAACTGTAGAGTAGCTTTTTAGTAAGACTTCTGGTTCTTACTCTGTGATAAAACACCTGCTGCTCAGTAATTGAACAGGTCATCTGTGAGATTGTATTTTTAGTCATCTTTCATGCTTGGTGAGGAGACAAACCAGTTTGGTGTGGTGAGATTTAAGCGTTCAGTGAGGTGTTTAATGTGACCAACAATCTTCTTTGTCTCATGCAGCACTCCAGAGCAGGAGATGGAGGAGAGAAAGTGTAACTATGAGCGCTACAGAGGCCTTGTACAGAATGACTTTGCCAACAGTGAGTGTTAACACACAAAATCTACATGATTATGTAATGCACTTAATAGTGTTGCACCTGTATTCTTAATGTGACCATGGCAGTGTGTTGACCTGCTCTCAGTGGGTATATTTTGCAGTTGTGTTGTGCTCTTTAAATCCCTCCTGTCCTCCTGCAGTCTCTGAGGAGCAGTGTTTATACCAGATCTACCTGGATGAGCTCTATGGTGGTCTGCCCAAACCAAATGAGGATGAGAAGAAAAAGTATGAACTAAATTTTAAAGTGATTTCTTTATTTCCACTGTGAAATCCAGTATTTTAAGTTGTGTTTATAAATCTTTCCTTGTGTTGTGCAGACTGGCTGAGAAGAAGGCCACCATTGGTTACACGTATGAGGACAGCACTGTAGCAGAGCCTGAGCCCCAGTCAGACAAGGAGGAAGACAATTCAGAAAACAGTGAATCCGAAGATGACGAAGGCATTCCAGATATCGGTGAGCGTGTTTCACTGGAGTAATCTATGTGTTAGGGAAATAAAATTCAGGAGATGACCAAATAAAACATTTAGAGGTGCAGCTGTCCACAGAGAATGTGTTTGATCAGCTTTTCGTCTCTTGGATGTGCGAGAGTTATTCCACAGAACGTTTCTCAGAAGAGACTAAAATCTGAAATTGTCAATTTGACTGTGCGAGCTGGATTTGTGACATCATTTAATGCAGTGCAGGGTTCAAATGGCCAGATACACATCTGTGTAGCTGGACCAGGATTAGCTTCAGACTAACCCTCAAAATGGGCTTCAGCGAAGGAGAAATGTCACATCCCAATGAGAAATGAATGCTGTTGAACCAAGCAATTTAACAGCGTGTGAAACGCTAGTTATTGAGAAATAACACTAGTTATCTTACACTGTACCTGGAGAAGTTTGTCTTTATAAAAGTGATCCACTCAGCTGGAACTGCTCATCTTTTCTGCCCGGTTGCAGGTTTTTCTTGGTTATGTGATAATTGAGTTTTAAATGCTGTGAGCCGACGATCTGATCTCAGGTCAACAGTGTTCCTGTTTAATGCTTGGGTAAGAAATCGACTTGTTAAGAAATGATGTGTCTGTGTGTGTCTGTGTGTGTCTGTGTGTGTGCTTTCAGATGTGGAGGTTGATGTTGATGAGCTGAACCAGGAGCAGGTGATGGACCTGAACAAAATAGCAACGCCATATGGAATGGCTGAAGGAGACTTTGTCAGGTAACATGTCATTAATGACATCATGATGTCAGTGGTTCTTTAAATTTTAATTAGTGTCTTGGTCAAAGTAAAGTTAATATAGCTTTTTGTTTTTAAATTCAGGGTTCTTTTGTTGTTGGGTTTTTGTTTTTTTTTTTGTTTTTTTTTTAAGGTTTTAATTCTGGTAAGTTTTTAGTCTTTTTAAGTATAATTGTATAGACGGCAGATCTCAGAGGTGAGATTTAGGAAAATAATTGTAGGTATTATTGTGAAAACAGAACTTTTTGAAAGTTCAGTTGACTCAGTGTTTTAGACCAAATTCTTAGTAAACATGTCTGAATCTTTAGGAAGTTGTGATACATTTTATCAACTAACTATTTTCAGAAGTCTGGTTTTTATTTTATTATAATTTTTCATTTAACTGAAATATTTTTTCTAATGTAGTTGTTTTGTTTTTTTAATGTTTTTTTTTTTTTTTGTGGTTTAATTTTGTTAACTGTAATATCCTTGACCTCAAAGTTGATGTATTTGGGTTATATTCATTTTAATTACAAGCTTCTGCAGTGTTTTAATTTCAGCAGATACTGTAAAAATACACACAGTAAAAAAAAAAAAAGGAGGTATTTTTTTGTTTGCTTTTAAATTGATTGACTATTTAGAGGATCTCTTTCAAAATAAGTTCTGTAGAGTAAAGGCGAACTTTGAGCAACATGTTTGTATTCTTGGACTCCAGTGGAGTAGCTTTGTATGGTTCACAGTGCAAAATGAGCTTTTTCATTTTTAGTGTCGTCTTAATTGGCTTTTGTGCAGCCCAAATAAACTAGCTGATCTCCCGGGGGGTAAAAAAACACTTTCTGAAGTTGGGGAATAAGAACAATTTAAGCCTGAGCCATTGTTCGTACAGCCACTCTTGTTATTGTTTGAAACCATGGCAATGTTTAACGTGAGCATCTGACGTTAAAACATAAACCGTAATGAGTACACTGAGCCGTGGCTCCGACACGAACGCATGTATCTCATGCTGTTACACTGAGGATCGTTGGTTTTCTTTTCTTCACGTTGATGCGCTTCTGTGTTTAAATAATTATTTTTGTGGTTTTTGTAATGCTGTGATTGTGCTACCCATTTGTCAGGATGTTGAGAAAAGACAAGGAAGAAGTGGAGGCCATCAAACATGCCAAAGCTCTGGAGGCGGAGAAGGCCATGTACTCTGTAAGACTAAATCTGCTGAGGGAAGTGTTTGTGTGGGTTGTGTTCACAGGTTTTATAATGTTTGTTTGCTTGATCGTCTCAGGGCCGCCGCTCTCGTAGACAGAGGAGGGAGTTTAGAGAGAAGAGGCTAAAAGGAAGACAAATCAGCCCTCCGAGGTAAATTTGCGTTATTTTTCCTTAATGAACTTCACCGTACCTCAGAACGTGGTTATGTTAACTCGCCATTTCCTCTTGCAGCTACGCCAGGAGAGACAGTCCAACATATGATCCTTATAAACGGTGAGTTCACCCACTTGATTTGTCCTTCCGACTTTTCTGATTGGTTGTCTGCCTCTGTGTGTCTTAACTAAAAAAAAATTCTGATCACTTTCAGGCCAGAGTCAGAGTCCAGCTCTGAGTCACGCTCACGCTCACGTACTCCCGGTCCAGAGAAGATCACCTTCATCACCAGCTTCGGCGGCAGTGACGAGGAAGCCGCGGCAGCACCGCAAACAGCTGCTCCTCACTCTGGCCACGCCCCTTCCAACTCGCAGCACTCTGCAGGTCATAGCAGGGGCTCCCGGTCGGTAACTTTCCCTCCTCCTGGTTTTTCTTCTTGCAGTCACTGTTAATTAAAATGACCGCAGCTGTTCGTGCAGAAAGAATATCGATTGTTTTTGTGGTCAGAAAGGTGGATCAGCTTTCAGAGTATCTGACCAAATAATCACCAACTATCAAAAAGGAACTATTGAAGTGTGCATGCGCATAAAGAAAAATCTGATTGGGTATTTTTCAAAGCTGAAATCGGTTATCAAAATTTTTCTATAAATTAAACAACATATTACATTTAAAAGCGGAGAATATGATGTAATGATAGGCTAGGTGCTAGCCTGTATTTATACTGAAACGCTGTCTCTGTTTATTCAGGAGACGAAGGTCATCCAGCAGCCACTCCCCTTCTTCCTCCTCGCACTCCTCCTCTCGGTCCTCGTCTCGCTCATCGTCACATTCACGCCGACCCCGACGAGGACGCGGGGGAAGAGATGGGCGTCGATCCCGGAGTCGCTCGCGGTCAAGGCGGCGCTCTAGGTCCTACTCCCGAGGTAGAGGAGGGAACGGAGGATCGTGGAGGAGACGTGACCGGTCACGCTCCAACGACAGAGACAGAGAACGCGAGAGGGACAGAGAGCGAGAACGAGACCGGGATCGAGACAGGGATAGGGACAGAGACAGGGATAGGAGACGATACTCGGCACGTAGAAGAACAAGGTTAGCTTAATCCGTAAGCAGTGCTACATGAGCTGCCTAACAGAATTCTGTAGTTGAAGCCCTTTTGTCTTTCTATCAGGTCCCGCTCGAGCTCACGTCAGGGCGGCAACTCGAGGCGAGGGGGTCGGAGCAGTGGAGGACATCGTCGTGGTGACAGCGGCAGCCACAGTCCCTCACGAACCCCTAGCCGTCCTCGCCGTAGCCCATCCCCTGCCCACAGAGGGGCCCAGCCTGCTACCATTGCCATCTCTGACAAGTTAAGAAAGTAAGAAGACCCTAAAACACTTTAACGGAGTGTGAAAATGTAAATAATCAATATTATAGAAAGAGCGGTGTCTTTAATATCCAAAATGAAAGCTCACTGGCCTTGTCAGAAATCTGGAAATATTCTGCCGATCATCCAAACCCTTAATCACACATAAATGAGACTAAGTGTCTCTAGCCTTGTGTCGTCACGGATTCATTTTGGGCTTCTGATGATTTCTTAATGGAGCATAATTCTTCAGTACCATCTCTCCAGTTTAATTTTTTCCTCGCAAAATGATCAGAACAGGAGCGAGATCCATTTAAAAGACAAAAGAGAAATCTCTACACTTCATCAGCTGTCATTTAAATATTTCCTGGTTATTTAAACATGTTTACAAAGACTTTAGTCACTGTGACTGACCTTTTGTGGCCTGACTGCTATATATTGTTCGTCCACCAGGGGGCCTTGCCCCACATTTTAGCAGATGTTCGTCTAAAACAGGGGTGCCCAATCCCGGTCCTCGAGAGCTACCGTCCTGCAGCTTTTAGATGCATCCTTGTTCCCACACACCTGAATCAAATGAATGGCTTGTTATCAGGCCTTTGCCAAACATGATGGCATGCTGAAGAGATCAAACCATTTGATTCAGCTGTGTTGGAGTAGGGATGCATCTAAAAGCTGCAGGACGGTAGCTCTCGAGGACCGGGATTGGGCACCCCTGGTCTAAAAGGTGTATTCTTAGGCAAAATAGACACGTACATTTCAGGCTGCTTGATTTAAAAACCACCAACAGTTTTCATCCTTTTACTGTTTTTTATCAAACTTTGTAATTTTCCCCGCTCTTTAAGAATGGTTTTGTCTCAGGAAAAGCACACTTTCGACTCATAACTCATTAGATTGGCTAATCAAAAGCTGAACAGCAAGTGTTCTTGAGTTTATTGACACACAAGACAAAAGGTTTGGAGATGAGCTGTGCTATAAAGTGGAAATATAAGTAGTACTTTATTGCTTTAGGGCTGACATGTCTCTATTTACCATCATCACTTTTCAGACTTAAGGCACCTGACTAGGCCTGTGCTGCACCAGTGAACAATAAATAAGTCCATAAATAAGAGTCTTAAAACAGTCAGTTTCAGTGTCACGAAGCCAGAACAATTTAACACCTGTTCTTTATTGCTTTTCACATTTAAAAGCCATCCTCACCCTTCAGCGTTACACCTGTTAGAAAGTCAGTATGCATATATAAATATGCCATCTTCGCCTCATCGTGATGTGTTTTTCTGTCTTCTTCTTCTTCTCCTCTCTCCAGGCCTGACACTTCGGGTGGTAAAGAGACGGGAGCTGCCAAAGTCAGTAAGAATTTGATCTAGCTGGGTTTCTTGCTAAAGCCTACGCCTCCCTCATCCCTGACAGGCTGACTTGGTTGTCCACCACACTGGGATGTAGAAGCCATTGTTGCCCACAGAGAACAGTTATTTTATTCTTATCCCCCTCCCCCTAAAGTGGACACGCCCTGCAAATTACACTACAGTATTCTTGCCAGATGTCTAAGTTAATGCTGCCATTTCTTTATGAAGTGAACTTTTATACGTCCTCTGAAGTCTTGATGATGATTTAATCTTGGTGGTGGATGCATGTGTGCAGTTATCTTTATGCATCTGTCTTTATTCTAAAATAAACACACTGTGACACATCAAAGGTCTTGAGATGAAGAAGATCACTTCTTCCTCTTATGACAATCTATAAATCAGTAATGAACACGTGAATGACAAACATATTGATTAAAGAAATAGTCGGACACTTTCGAAAGTACAAATGGACACAAAGATCAAAACGACAATTGAGCGAATAAGCAGACTTCCTAAATTTTTGAGCAGTTCCCTTTAAGAGTAAGTCATCGAAACTGTTTTGTGAAATGTATTTCTGTCATGGACGACTTTTCTTCTCACTCTTTTCCTGGAAGAGAGGACGAGGTTTGAATACATCCCAACTATCACACAGTCAAATAGTGTACATTTGTTATCAGCTCGTCTGTTGCCTGCAGCTTGTGACCTGCAGTTTTTCTTGCCTGGCCAGATTTGAACAGCCCAGCGAAGGGTGTGTCGTGACAAAACGCCGCTGGCCAACTTTTTAAACTCACCGGACCTGAACTTGCTCTTGTTTCACTTTCTGACCCTCTCTCCTCCTCCAGTCCTTGTTTTTCTTTCTTCTCTCTGGCAGTGTTCGTACAGTTGCAAGAAAATCTTTGGGTTACCATGAGAATTATGATTTCTGCATTACTTACTCATGGGGTCTGATTTCTTAAACAGTTAATGCCTTTCTTGAACACATTGAGCAATCACTCATTTCAATATTTGAATTTTCAACTGCAATAATCCTTCATGTGTTTGTCATCGCTGCTTATGAGACAACACTGAGAGTCTGGGCCTGTTCCTCTCTACATAACTGTTTGAGTTCGTCAGTATTTCTGCGACGTTTGTTTCCCCATTGGCGTTGTTCCTTTGTCCAGGTGTGAACATGGTAATCACACTCCAGGTGTGGACAAAACAACCACATTGAGTCCCTTTGGAGATGGAGGTCTGGATCCAGATCAACTCCAGAGTAGTTTGTGGGACCAGATGCAAATTTGAGCTAAACGTCTTCCCGTAGCCAGGTGTGCTTTGCTTTCTGGGATGTAGCGGAGTAATGCAGCCGTGCTCAGTACACAAACTGTAAAATATTACCCATATAAACATGAATGTTAGGAATAAACTCTGAGTTATCTGCTGCTCCAGAGCACAGCATTTTCTTCCCATCTTAGACACATGTGGCCAATAAGCAGATTGAATGTTCTCACATTGCCTTGGCTCATCCAAACCTTGAATTTTCTTTGTCTTTGGTTCATTCTGTTCTTGGATTACCAGTCCTCTCCTTGTGGGTTTACATTTTCCAGTAAAATGCTTCGTAATTTGTTGCTCTCCTTACGATCGCGAGGTGTACAAAACCTGGGGTAACAAGTCAGCCTAAAGCCTAATTGTGCCTCCACCGTGCTTCACAGGATGGTGTTCTGGTTTTTTGGGGTGTAGAGTTTGCAGAGTTGTGGTTTCCTGTGGGGTCACAATTAACCTTATGTCTAGGGAGTCCAGGGATTTTGTTGTTACCCTTGGGTGTTTTCCCCAGGACTATACTCTATATTCCTGATGCTATTTTTGCAGAGAGATAACCGGCAGTTCTCAGTTTCCTCGATTTGGAGACGACCCAAACTTCAGTCTCACCTTATCAATTGGAACGCCTGATTCCAATGAACTTTGGAAGTACTTTTCCCTGCCTGTACTCAGTGATTACCCAGGTTGTTTTAAATTTTTAAATGCATAAAGATTGATCTTCATTTTGAAACCAATCAGTGCAAAAATCATAGTAATTCCAAAGTGTCCACAAACTTTTTCTTGCAACTGGGGTTTTTTTTGGGTTTTTTTTTTAAACTATATATTTGTGTTCATGTTGTTTTGATCCTGGCCTGTCTCTAAACTGTCCCACAGCAGTTGCAAGCTAAAGCAGCAGTCTGTACACACACACACACACACACACACACAGAGCCTGTGTCTGTTGTTCCAACACACAAAATGTTTTCAATCACTTGTAATCTGTCACCCTTTTTATCTCCACCAGCTACTGTTCGTAAAGGTGATGGTATTGAATTTGTACAATAGCCCCGGTACCTCCCCCTCTCTTTAACACATGCGTGCACACTGACACACACACTTCTTTTTTTGTTTTCTTTTTTTTTTTTCCGACCATGGAAAGCTGTACTAACACATTTGTGTCACCTGCAGCCCAAGATGACCCCACAGGAACGGCTGAAGCTGAAAATGCAGAAGGCTCTCAACAAGCAGTGTGAGTGCAGCCGAGCAGATCGCATGTGTTTGTGGTTAATGTGCGAATTAAGAATCAGCACTGTGCACAACTTGAAACTGTTGAAGATTTTCTCATATTATGCAAAGTGAAAAAGATGATAAAGATCTTTCTTTTGCCTGATCTGCAGCCAAGGCGGATAAGAAAGCCGCTCAGGTGAAGATCCAGCAGCAGGAACACAAACGACAGGTGTGTGTGTGTGTGTGTGTGTGTGTGTGTGTGTGTGTGTGTCTGTGTGCGCGCGCGCGCATGTCTGAGGTTTAGTAAGACAGAAGCGTCTTTGTCCACCTATTTCCTCTTATTGCTGGTTGTTTACTTTACAGGAGC